TATACTAAGATTAAAGATGATAAGTAGAGAATTCAGGATCTTTTCATGACTAGATTTTGTGTTTTATAGGATAGAGAAAATGATGTCTCTGCATTCATCTGGGAGTCTTTAGTGAAATCAGAGATAAATAACTATTTTAATAAAAACTTAACTAATTAATTTAGACAATGTAGACATTAGTATTTGTAAAGATCAACTTTATGCAGAATGATTATTGATCAAAGTAGGTAATTAATGACAATGGAAAAGATGTTCGCTCCAGAACTCAAACCTGAAGGAAATGTATCTGCTATACCTTTAATCTAGAAAGCAACGATGTCTAAATATATGCGTCTATTAGTTAGCAAAGGCTGTAAGAAAGTATAGTTTGTCTTATCTTTGGCTTGACCCTGAGGTCCTAGCGTCTATCCGCTTTAGGCCACCCTTCAGTGTTCATTGGTTATTGCCTGGCCACCCTTAAAAAAATGTTCTGGCTACGCCTCTGATACAGGTGGATATTACTATTAAAAAGGGTTTTTACAGTTATGTAAAAAGTTATATACAGTTATGTTTCTGAAATGTTCAGTCAGATTTCTGCACCTATTGATGGTGTGTTGGTGAAATGTTCACCAGCGAGGTGCTCTAATGTGTCTGAGACTGCTTTGTTTGATTGACTCAATATCAATATTTAAATTTACTGAAACATTATTAAATCGGTATAATTTTTTTCAGTTTCTAGTTATTTGAATGTATAATCTGTTTAATGATTGCCAGTGTAAGGAGGGAGAGGTGAAGAAAGAGGAGTGAGGTGTTTGCAAAGTGAAAGGTCAGGAAAAACCTGATACGAAAACAGCAGCAAATAAATAGCAGCAAAGAAAAACATTTCATTCAGTGGATAATTTTCCATTTATCATGGAAGTAATTCTGGCACACAAAAGAGAAAACTCATTTCATGAAAACTGATTTAAAGGTTTCCATGAAATGAGTTGATTTAAAAGCTTTAATTGGTTGGAATATTCTTCTAAAAAATGCTGCTTTTTGGTTTGCTTGTTGGGTTTTTGGCTCAGGTCTTGAAGACGATGCATTAGTGAACGATGGAGTCAGTCATTAGCAAAACTGAACAAGTTTGAAAAATATCTGTAGAAAACAATGAAATTAATCTTGTTCTGTCAGACAGCTCTGTGGGGGCTCAGCACCACTAAACCTCTGGTCCTAGAACCGCCCCTGCTCTAAAGAGTATTATTTACATTTTCAATGTCATTTTTATTGTTACATTTCTACAAAGAAAATTATCAGAGCAAGAAAAAATATTAAATATACAGTAACTTTAAACTACATAAAATGGTGGATAAAAAACTTGGTCAATTTATTCATGCTTTGTTTCACTGTTTACTGCTTAAAAATGAGTTAGAACACAAAAATTATTTATTTTACGGCTGGATTTAATTTTTATATTTGAAATATCTAGTGGAAAATATTTTCTTCTTCTTTTGGGCCCCACCTCATTCAAGGGCCTTTAGATGGTTAGATGAAGGATCCTAACAATTCAATATTTTTTTTCATGGTATGTAACTTTTTATATCATAGACAATCTGAGTAAATATAAAATGTGTATTTACTAAGGGGTGCAGGTAAAGGGAGCTGGTGTAATTTGGAACAGACCGGTTGGTTTAAAACATGAATGAACTGTAATTCCATTCCTTTATTAAAATTCAATATTAATAGCCAAACCCACACCTGCTTAAAGGAATAGTACACCCAAAACATGATTAGCCTTCATTTTCTACTCACCCCCATGCTG